TCTTGCCAAAGTGGCCATGAAATGTTTTGGGGGTTGTTTTTTTTTTGGCTTTTTTTTTTTTTTTTTTTTTTTTTTTTTTTTTTTTAGAAAAATCACTTCAGTTGTAGCATATAATAAATAGGTAATATTAGTCTCTTTTATTGCTATAGAATATCCTAATTGTAAAAAAAGATGAGAGAAAAAATTGACCCCCAAAGACTTAAAGTATGCTTGCTAAAGAGTGTTAGAAATGAATGTCAGAGGAATATTACCAAGGGACCAAAAACAGGCTCCTTTCCTCCTATCCTCAGAACTACTCAGACAAGAGATCTGGATTCAAAGGAATATGACTGTACCATCTCAGAAACAACCTGCCACACACAAAAATCAGTTCTGAACCAACAGCCTGCCTGCACAGCACCCTGTGACATCCCTGATTGCTTATCATCTTGGCATATTATTAACCGCTGTCCTTTAGAGTACTGAAGATCTACATATTGTTGACAGCCTGGGACAACTGCTTACGCAGCAAATGAATTTCACTTTTTGTAAACATGGTATGTCTCCAAATTTGGACCACTGTTGAAGTAAACAAATTCATTCACAGCATTTAACACTTCAGTTCAATCCATCTTTCCAGTCTTACACCTGTGTCCTTAATAAAATTAAGCCTTCACAAGTGAAAGATCTACCTGGAAAGGTCAGAACTGCTCTAAAGATGCAACTGTGTTGCCCAGCAGTGACTTGCTCATAACAGGTTTAATAAACAACTGCTGACAGTTATTAGATTCCTGTGTCCTATATTACATTTTAACTGGGTATACTCACTTATTTAGTGACTTGTCTCACTAAAATATCTTTTTGTATGTTAAGAATTAATTTAATAAAAGAACGTAAAATCACTACATTAACCAGAATAGAAAACAAAATGGAATACTGAAGAGAAATCCTATTTGCTTGGTCTTCATTTTGGATTTTAATTGTTTGGAGTATATATGGAGGACAGACAGGTGAATGGGTTCAAAGTCATAGCCAGCAGAAAAAGAAAGTTCTGGCATTCCATTACACAGAGGATGACTAATCAGGAAAACTGAACCACGTATTTCAAAATAAGTATGAGGACTCTGAATTATAACTGAGGTGAAGAATATAAGAATCCTGAGGTGATCACATCATAATGTCTCAATGTACCAATACACCCTGAACTCCAGAATGACACAAGAAATGCTAAAAGCCAAACTATAAGGATCAAACACTATTAGACAGAGCATAAGAAAGGACATTATACACATACTAAAACTAACAAGAAGTCTTAGAAACAATTAGGACAGATAAATGTAACTAAAACAGGTACATGGATATAAACAATAACCTTTTTTATTTTTTTAAAAAACAATCAGGTTTCCAGTCTCCAACAATGCAAGACCTTCCAAAATGCCTAAAAATATATAAACTTTCTCCAATCTTCCTTCACAAGAAGTCTATGCTTGTAGCATTAACTGTTTAATAAGAAGCTCAAACACAAAAAAGAAAAGAATAAGCAATAACTGCACTAAGTATTTTACATTCACAATTTAAAATTAAAGCTTCTGAAAGAAAAGGACCTAACCAGAACATAGATACATCTTCCTAAAGCCCACACGATCTGACCTAAAGACCTCTGTGAAAAAACGATTCCACACATTTTTGGGGTGTCAAACTAATATTCTATTTTAAATATTTTTTCCAAGTTGTCAACTTCTATTTCTGACACTACCATCTGAGGGTATTTCAGTATCTATTTATATTGCCTTCATTCCTACATACGGGTAGAGATGGAAATACAGAAGGAAATGTCTAGAAAGCAATCCTAAATCTGGTGTCACTCCACAATGGAAAGCATGTGATGCTCTAAGCCTAACCTACTACATACACTGAAGGTCAAATAACTGGTTAAAGATGTGCAAATTTCCAGGCAATCACAAAGAACCTCCAAACTGGCACCAAGGGGATGCTTTATGTAAGAAGGCATGGAAGGAAGTTACAATTAACTGTAGGAAACTCTTCCTTGGGACAAAGCTGAAGATAACTGATCATGACAACACCAATTTGAGATACTTCATAGCAGCTTTGCGCTGTGATTTCAAAGAAAACAATAAAATGTCACTGAACAGTATATTTTAAAAAATCAAGTACTGCAGTTGCAAGAAAATACAAACTACTTTTAGAAGATGAAGAGACAAGGAGTTGGAAACCCAGCATCCCATCTTCAAATGTAAAGTCATACTGTCAGTGTCCAAAACAGTTCAGATTTGCATTGTGTGCTATGAAACCATGCACATGCATTCAACTCAACTGTGGAGGACACTGATGCACTACTGCAGTCTGCTTCCTAAGTTACCTCCACCTACAGAGATGACAGGCACACTTCAACTACTAAGTTAACCTAACTTAGGTATCACTATCACCAAGCCTTTTAGTTGCAGTTTGAAACAAAACAGAAACAAGCTTCAAAATAAATCACAGCATCTTCTATTATAAAGAACATACCTAAACTCAGCATGGTGATGCACGCCTTTAATCCCAGCACTGGGGAGGCAGAGGCAGGCAGATCTCTGAGTTCAAGGCCAGCCTGGTCTACATAGTGAGTTCCAGGACAGCTGGGGCTACAGGGACATAGCTAAACCTTCAGTAGATGTCCAAGTACTAGCACACACTGACACAGCTTTGAGTACCCCAGTCAAGCGCACTCACAGTTCCTTCATCAGTCTGCCTGAATTGAGGCAATCATCTTAAAAACTCAACAATCCCCCCAATTGAAGGGGAGGACCCAGAAACTCATTATCCAGGTCTTGGAAGAAAATAACAGCTTAAAAATCTTGTTGATTTTAAGTTTAGATTTAGATTCTATTAATCAAACTTCCCCATGTATTACTGAAAAAATGAGGCAATTGCACAAAAATCACAAATTGTGTAGAATAATCATAACTGATACATAAATAAGGATTTACTAAAAAGGTTTTCAGGAGGCGATATTTTAAATCAAAAATTTAAATACAAAAGGTGTCTTGTGTTGCTTAATTGTCTTAAGTTTAGGATGCCCTTTACTCTACAGTTACAGATTTGGCAAGATTCCGTGGGAAATCAACCTGGAAAAAAAAAAGTTGTATTAGAAAATATAATCACATAATGTATCTTGAAAAAAAAAAACTGAAAAAAAAAAAAGGTGCTAGTAATATACAGGGAGAGCTACCCTGGCCCCTCTGTGGAGCTGGCCCTCACGGGAGACCTTGGAAATACAACAGGATGTTTTGATTCCCACAATAACAAGGGGACCAAGAATGCTACAAGTTCTGCACTGTGGGAGAGATCGAAACAACATAGATTTGCTCTACCCAAAATACCAATCACTGCCTACTAAGAAAACAGGTGACCCTGCCCCCATGCCACCACCCAGGCCAGTCCCAGGTTTCAAAGTGACCACCAAGGTTTCTTCAAGTTCTATGGATTAAGAAGAAACTGATATACATTACAAAGTAGGCTGTGAAAAGGTAACAGATGATACCATATGTGATGGATTTCTTAAATGCTATTGCTAAAAGGTTAAGAGGGACAGCATCAAGCTTTACCTATGTCAAAATCCATCCCCAAAGTTCTGTGGTGGTAGGTTACTCACGTCATAGCCTCTCAGCACAGCCAGATGGAAAGCCAGCAGCTGTAAGGGGATCACACTGAGAATGCCCTGTAAGCAGTCCACTGAGTGGGGCACCTTAATTGTCCTTTTTGTGTTCTTAATGGTCTCAGTGTCTTCCTTATCACAGATCACCACTGGGCGCCCCTGGGAAGAAAACCACATGCAAATACAATCACCAGGGAGCACATATTACCAGGTGACAGGAAGCAGGCATGCATTCTAGGCTGTATGACCCACAGGCAGCTCTGACTGCTCACTTGGGCAAGCAATAACACAAGTTTTGCAGGATTCAGTATCTTTAAAAAAAAAAAATTCACACAAGCAAGAAACTCAAGCTTATAGTTGTATACAGGTCTGTGTTCCTTTGAAGTTCAAGTTAATAAACCAGTACATTGTGTTTAAGGACTCAGATATAAAGTCAACTAACCTGAAAATCAATTTTTATAAGCTAAAGCATTCATGATATCAACATAAAAATCTAAACATTAGGGTTTCTTTGAAATAAAGTTACTAATGTTAAAATAAAAGGTAACTGCATATGTTAACAGAAGACAAAGTCTGGAGACCAAGACCTAGTTTTGGTTTAGTTCATTCATTATAAGACCTATGAATCAGGACCTATCAAAATTCAAGTGTCTCATTCCCTACAGGTAAATGGCCAAGCAAAGACGTTAACAAGTAAACATGTTTGTAAGTCATCTACCTGGTACTGGGCTGTCACTCTAAGTGTAAAATTCAATTATACTTTAGTAACTCAACTCACAGACCCTCAAAGTGTCCTTACAGCCACCTGACTTACCTGCCGGGCAACCACCTGCTGCAGAGCGTTCTGACACTTGGTGTAAGTGTGGTCCCGCATAATGATCATGATGACAGGCATCAACTTGTCCACCAAGGCCAGAGGGCCGTGCTTCAGCTCACCAGCAAGGATGCCTTCAGAGTGCATGTAAGTAATTTCCTTGATTTTCTAGTAAGAAAGAACCAGGTAAATCTTTGCCTATTTTTCAAAATTCCACTTTCAAGAAAATATTACACATGCATCTGATGTGGTCAGGTCTATACAAAGTATTAACAGACTACCAATCTGTAAACACAGCTGTCAAGTTAACAGATCATCATTTTTCCAATTCCAACAAATACATGAAAGTGTTGAAGCACCACAAGAAGCTACAGACTATCAAGAACAGATTCATACTGTTCTGAAACTGTTCTCCCACTTGCCTTGTATTTATTTAACCTCAATTTCTTTATCTACAGAACCTTGGTCTTTTGTTCATATGTTGACAACACATACACTCAACTTACTTACAAACCCCACATTATCATGTGACTATGCACTCTTCTTGGCCTGTACTCTTGGAATAAGCTCTGTGGCACTTTCCCAAGTTAAAAAAAAAAAAAACAAAAAAACACCACCACAATGAACACAGACACTTTAAACCTCTCTACCTATTTCATTTATTTATTCTAAAAGTAAATGATGAGGGGGGCAGGGAGGATGGTTCAGTGGGTAAGAGTGCTTGCCGCTGAGCCTGACAACCCCATTTCAATCCGTGGGACTCACATGGTAGAAAGAGAAAACTGACACCAGCAAGCTGTACTCTGATTCTATACATGGGCTGCATCGTGTGTACACACACACACACACACACCAAACAAACAAACAAACAAACAAAGTATATGGGGGCTAGAGGCATGGTTCTGTGCTATGGGGACTTCCTAGTATTAGAGAAGCTATGGGTTAAATTAAATCCCCAGCACTACAGAATAAACAGAAGTATAACTACATTCAAGGTCCATAAGCCAACAAAGTAAAATTAACTGTGAGAAAACATACCAAGGCTCCTTCAAGACACGTAGCATAATGATAGCCTCGACCCATTATCAAGACTGACTTCTGATGGTAAAGTTCTGTTGCCAGCTTCTGAATTTCATCATCCATGCTCAATACTTCCTTAATCAAATCTGTGAAGTAAAGATTAGCGAAATCTATGAAAAATGGAGCTTATGCTCAAAAGATACAGTAACAATACTATACAGATAGCAAACTAGTTCAGGAATTCTCTTCCGTGGTATTAGCATGAGATTCTCTTAATACATGGCAGAAAAAGCAGAAAGATCTTATTAACTAAGTAGCTACAAACCATAGCTTCAAGAGTAAGATAAGAACTTCATCCATTGCTCACTTCCTTACAAAACAAAACCACAGAAAAGTGAATAAATAGCCTTTGGAACTTCTGGTAGGATAGTGGGCTAGAAGCTGCCCCCGTATAATACAGTTAAAAAGAAAAGGCAGAATAAGGGAAAAAAAAATACTCTAGGGGCTAAGGACAGAGCTCAATTGGAAGAGTGCTTGCCTAGCATGCACAGGCCTTGGGTTTAATCCCCAGCACTGCATAAAACTGGACATAAAAGAGAATATCTGCTATCCTAGCACTCAGGAGGCAGAGGTAGGCGGACAAAGAATTTAAGGTCATCCTCTGCTAAATACTGAGCTCAAGGGTGGTCAAGGCCAGCCTGGGCTAAAAGAGATCCTATGTTGTTGTTGTTTTAAAGGCTATTCCAAAGAGAGAGAGGACGAGGTTCAAAAAGTCACAAAGGGACAGCTGAAAAGTATAGAGAAACTGAAGAGCCAGCAGATCAAACAAGCCCAGCCCATGGCTTTCTACCAGAAGAGAGTCAAAACAGAAGTTTCACTCAAAAGATCAGACAATCCTGTCTGCTTTGGCTATCCAGGGTCTTCTGCGATTCTATATAAATTTAGGATTTTTTTATTTCTGTGAAAAATGTCATGATGATTTTGATTGAGATTGCATTGAATCTGTAAATTGCTTTTGGTAGGATGGTCATTTTTAGAATATTTATTCTACCAATCCATGAGCATGGGAGGTTTTTCATCTCCTTTTATCTTCCTCAATCTTTCTTCAAAGATTTAACATTTTCATTGAAGAGGTCTTTAATGTCTTTACTTAGGTTAATTCCTAGATATTTTTTTTGAGGCTATTGTGAATGGGAGTGTTTGCATCAACTTTTTCTCTAACTACTTGTTACTGATATACAGAAAGGACACTGACTTTTGTAAACTGATTTTGTTTCCTGACACTTAAAGTGTTGATCATTTCTAGCAGTTTTCTGGTGGTATTTTTGAGATTTCTTATGTATAATTATCATATCATCTGCAAAGAGGGATAATTTGACCTCTTTTTTCCAGTTAGAATCCCTTTGAGTTCCTTCTCATCTTATTGCTCTAGCTAGAGCTTCAAGCATAATATTGAAAAGAAGTGGGTAGACAGCTTTGCCTGGTTCCTGATTCTAATGGAAATACTTCAAGTTTTCTCCATCTAGAATGATGTTGGCTATGTGTTTGTTACATACAGTCTTATTATATTGAGGTATGTTACCTTCCAGTTCAATATCCTCTAGGACTTTTTATCATGAATGCATGTTGGATTTTGTCAAGTCTTTTCTATATCGACTGAGGTGATGATGTGATTTTTTTTTTTTTTTAGGGGAGGGTCTTTTTGAGATGGGTTCTCCCTGTAGCCCCAACTGGCCTGTAACTCACTATGTAAGCCGGATTGGTCTCAATCTCACAGAGATTCACCTACCTCTGCTTCCTGAGTGCTGGGACTAAAGACATGGGATACCAGCTCTGATCACATGATTTTTTTACTTTTAAGTCCACTCATATGATTTATAATGTTTACTGACATACGTATATTGAAACATCCTTGCATCTCTGGAATAAAGCCAACTTGATCATGGTGATTACCATACTAGATCTCAAACTATATTACAGAACTATAGTAATAAAAACAGCATGCTATTGGCACAAAAAAAAAAAGACATGTAGATCAATGGAACAAAATAGAAGACCCAAACATGAGTGCACACAATTTCATCTACCTGATGTTTTTATGCCAAAATACAGAGGAAAGATAGCATTTTCAACAAATGTTGGTAGAAAAACTGGATCTCCACAGGTAAAGGAATGAAACTAGACCCATATGTATCACCCTGCCCAAAAGTTAACTCCAAATGTATCAAAGATGTCAATGTGAAACCTGAAAGGCTAAAACTATTAGAAGAAAATATAGGGAGTACGCTACAAGATATAGGTGCAGGAAGACTTTTTAAATCAGACATCAGTTACTCAGGAATTAAAGTCAACAACTGACAAATGGAATTTGATTAAACTAAAAAGCTTCTATATAGCAAAGGACACAATCAAGTGAAAAGGAAGCCCACAAAGTGGGAGAAAAATCTTCACCAGCTATATATCTGACAAAGGATTAATATCCAGAATATATAAAGAACTCAAAAAAACACCAAAGAATCAAGAAAACAATTGGCCCATTTAAAAAATGGGCTATGGATCTGAACAGAGAGCTCTTGAAAGAAATAAAAATAGCCAAGAAACATTTTTAAGTGTTCCTTAGTAATTAGGGAAATGCAAATCAAAAAACTTCAAGACTTTATCTTACCCCAGTCAGAATGGCTAAGATCAAGAAAACAAATGATACTAAATGTTGGTGAGAATGTGGGGAAAGGGAAACCCTCATTCATTGTTGGTGCGACTGCAAACTGATGTAACCGCTGTGGAAGTTTGTGTGTAGAACTCTTTAAAAAACTAAAAAGAATCTACCATATGATCCAGTTAGACCATATACCCAAAGGACTCATCCTACTGCAGACATACTTGCACAGCCATGTTTATTGCTGCTCTTTTCACAAGAGCTAAGAAATGGAAACAGCCTAAATGTCTCTCAACTGATGAACGAATAATGAAAATGTGGTTCATGTACACAATGGAGTTCTACTCAGCAGTAAAGAAATACAAAAACCATGAAACAGTCCAGTAAATGGATGGAACTAGAACTGTTATACTAAGTGAAGTAACACAGACTCAGAAAAACACGCAATGTATGTTCTCTTTCATCTGTAGATTTTAACTCCAAATCCTTAGATATGAGAATATATCCTGATGTAATCACAGGAGTCAGGAAAATGGAAAGGAGCCATGGGAATAAAGGAGAAGGAGTTCAAGAGGGAAGAGTAAGAAGACAGGTGTTGTCAAAGGGGAAATGGGGAAAATATGGGTACTTTAGGGTGGAAGGAGGGAAGGTTATAAAGGGGGAGATGAAAGATAAATAACACTTAGGTGGTGTGAAAAACTGGTGTGAAAACCTGGAGGGAAATGTATCAGAGAAAAATCCTACTGAGGAGCTGGAGAGATGGCTCAGAGATTAAGAACACTGACTGTTCTTGCAGAAGACCAGGGTTCAAATCCCAGCACCCACATGGCAGCTAACAACTGTAACTCCAGTCCCAGGGGATCTGACAGCCTCTTCTGTCCTCCGAGGGCACTGCACAACACGGGTGCACTTACCTACATGCAGGGAATACACGCCGACACATAAAATAAAAATAATAAAATATTTTAAAACAGAAAAAGCCTACTGAAAAATATGCATTTTGTGTGTGTGTGTGTGTGTGTGTGTGTGTGTGTGTGCGTGTGCGCGGGCATGCACATAGCTGAAGGCTATATAACAAAAAGTGCAAGGCAAGGGAAACCTCCCTTTAAGTTGTTGGTCAGAGACTCCCAAAATAACACAGGCTATCTATAGCCACAGTACTTGATTACCTCCCAGAACTTGAAGGTGAGACCTGATGGCTAAAAATAGAACATACTTGTCTTAGTTTGTTTCTTCACTGCTGTGACAAAACACTCTGACCAGTACCAACTTGGGGAGGAAAGGGTTTATTTGTCTTACATCTCCCAGGTCGCACGCAGTTCATCAGGGAGCCCAAGGTAGGAACTCAGGGCAGGAACCTGGAGGCAGGAGCTGGAGCACAGGCCATGGAGGAATGCTGCTTACAGGCTTGCTCCCTTGGCTCCTGCTCAGCCTGCTTTCTTATGCAACACAGGCCCACCTGCCCAGGGGTGGCACCACCCACAGTGGGCTGCGCCCTCCCACATCACTCATCAAGAAGATGCCCCTCAGACATGGCCACAGGCCAGTCCAATAGAGACAATTCCCCGATTGAGGCTCCCTCAACCCAGGTGTGTCAAAGTTGACACTAAAGCTATCCAGCACAATACTTTAGACACAGAACTTGGAGCAATTGAGCTGGAACTAACCTGAAAGCCTCCTCCCTAAAGACTAGCACTCATAATATCAGAGGATCCTATGTAAGCTGCCTAGGGAAAAAAAATCAACCAATGGTCCTACCCAGCTATAAAGCCTAATAAAAACAACAATGACAGGCCCAGCAAACTATCTCTATCGATGCAATAAGTAGTGGCACTTTTATCTAGGGGGTAATCAATTATCTGTCTAATTAGACTTAAGGTCTACACAATGGGAGGGAAATGACACTGTAAACATAGACAAATACACATGGCTGGAGAGGTCATAGATCCTAGAGAAAAACATTTTTGTCACATTCCTAGACCAACATAATTTTTTACTGTATTCTAAATATGTATCCTTATATTTACAGACAAATGTACTTTTCACCACTCATCCAAAAAAAGTTTCTTTTTTCAACAGATGGAGATTATTAGAGCTCCACAACTGGTCGAATGCAGAGAGCAGGTATCTGTGAGGCCTAGCCCTAACTGACACATCAACAGTGGAACCTCCACACCTAAGGCTCATAGAACACAGAACAGAGGGCAGAAAGAATATTAATGCATCTCTCAAGTCTTACCAGCAAAGCTTCCTCATGCAACAGATGGCTGTTAACCCAGAAAGATACAACTGGCCAAAGTGCAGAGAGTAAGAGATTACAATGATACAGGTGTCCCTGGGTAGGACACCTGTATCAAACTTCTGTCACTCAGGACTTAGGGACCCCTGCAGAGGAAGGAGCAGAAAGACTGTAAGAGCCAAGGGTGGTAGATGACCACAAAGAAACAGTTTTCCAGGCAGCTGAGAAGTTTCTTATATGAACTTAAAGCATGAACAAGAACCAGGTAAGCTCAAACCAGACAAAAATCCAGCATAGAAGTAAAGAAATGGGTAAGAAGCCCCGACCTTTGCTGAAAAACTACTGGTAACTTATAACTACTGGAAGAGGGAGAGTTGGTTTTCTTTAAGGGAATAATGTTAGACAGGTTGACCAAGCACAAATGGATGGACACAAACCAAAGGGCATTTGAGGACACCAACCTGGCTTACTAGGCCTTAATATACATGACAGAATGCATGAAATCTGGTGGTGGGGGGGACTATGGGGGAACACAGATAGGGGAAAGGGATCTAAATATGATCGAGATGTTTTTGTATGAAACTCACAAAAATTCAATTAAAAAAAAAAGATAAGCCATCAAGTTCTGATGAAGATATAGGAAGTCCCTCCCACATAACAAACCACAGCCCTTTAACCCTCAAATCCAAGTGCACTTCAGTGTATGACCTGCAGTAGAGTTCCATTCTGTCACTTTCTGTGACTCAGAGGGCAGTGGTCAGACATCATTTTGGGAGGAGACCTACTTAAAGCTGAGCTACCCTGGGGCCCAAGAACAAAGAATAATCATAAGTCAAGGAGTTCAATCTGCCACAGACTCAGCATGAGAGACATTCTTGTGAGGCAATTGTAGAAAGTGAGAGGGCCAAACCCTGACAAGCTAAAAAGCACAGGCAGCAGGAGGCTCAGGCAGTGAAGTACACAGGGAAAGGTATCACTGTCCTGGGCACCTGGGAACTGACATCATCAACTAAAAACAACTCTGGAATTGACAACCTGAGGTCAGTGGATCAACCTTTGGAGCCAGGTCTGCCGTTCACTACTGCAGAGCCCAGGAACTCTGAAGCCCTAGCAGAATACTCAAAGCACAAAAGTCTCCAACTATCCAGTCATCCTAAGCAGAAAGCAATGCTGAGGCATCTCAACACACAATCAACTATATGGTAGACAGTCACACAAACCTGACATGTACACAGACAGACTAGGAGGACCCAAAAATAAAACCACATAGCTGCAACCACCTGATTTTTTTCAAAGATGTTTAAAAATTAATTGGAAAAAAACTGCCTCTTCAAGAAATGGCACTGGGGAAAGTGGATATCAACATAAAGAAGAATAAAATGAGATCTACTGTCTCTCACCCTGAACAAAAATCAATTAAAAATAAATAAAAAACTTTTATATCCTGGATACGAAACCCTCAAACTGTCAGAGAAAAACATACTTGGAAAGTACTTCAAGATACAGGTATAGGCAAAGGCAAGGCCTTCCTCAAAAGAACTCCAATGAGCACAGGAAATGATCACAAGGACTGACAAGTGGGACTTCACCAAATTTATGTTTCTACAGCTTTGCACAGTGCAATATGGCAGTCAATGAGATTTATCCAAGGTGTAATTAGTGCTAATTAAAAAGCTTGCCCTTTCTGCCTTTGCTGCTGCCATGGCACTCATGAAAAAGCTTGTGGCAAAGGGGGTCAGGGTGGGGAGAAGCAGGTTTTGAAGTTAACTCTTGACTATATCCACCCTGCAGAGATGGAATCAGGGAAGCTGCCAACTTTGAACAGTTCCTCCAGGAGAGAAGCAAAGTGAACAGGAAGACTTTAACCATCAAAAAGCAAGAACATCCCTGCAACTTCTGAGGTGCCTTTTTTCAAAAGGTATTTGAAATACCTCACCAAAAATTATTTGAAGAAGAATAATCTACATGATTGGTGGTTGCACATAACTGCTAACAGAAAAGAGAGTTATGAATAATGTTACTTCCAGATTAACCAGGATGAAGAAAAGGAGGAAGAGAGGATTAAAACCCATTGATCGGGAATATTTTATATGAATTCATGAATAAAATTTAGGAACAACAAAAAAAGCTTCCACACAATAAAGGAAACAATCAGCAGGATGAAGAAACAGCCTACAAAAACAGGGTAAGGTCTTTGCCAATTGTATATCCAAGAGATTAATATTTAGAATCTATAAAGAACTCCAAGGCTAGGGATGTGGCTCAGTTAGTAGACTGCTTGCCTAGCATGTAGAAAGCCCTGGGTACAATCCTAGCACTACCTAGGCTACATGAGACTCTGTCTCAAAACAAAATTCATTATTCAGTATTCTAATCAAGAAAACTGTTTTTTTTAAAAAGCCTCTAAAACATGGATATCTCCATACCTGGCAGCCGTTTCAATCCAAGCATGATCTCTTTGCGTCTCTCTTGCATTGAGATCCTGTCATCACACATCATGAGGGCAAACATCACAAGGGATACAAACTGACTGGTGTAAGCCTGAAATACCACAGAAAACAGCAGAATTAGTTCCAGGTGCATTTTGAAATCCTGGAGACTTCAACAAAATGGATGGAAATTAAATATCCACTTGTTTTACAGTATACATTGCAAAGCTAACAACCATCCATTAACTCCAGTTCCAGGGGATCCAATGCCTTCTTTTAACTTCTGTGGGCATTGCACAACATGGGTGCATTTACTCACATGCAGGCAACACTCATGTATTGTATGTATATGAGTGTTCTGCCTTCATGCAATGCCTATGGAAGTCAAAAGAAGGCATTGGATCCCCTGGAACTGGAGCTAACCAAGACTGGTTACTAGCTGCCATGTGGGTGCTAGGAACTGAACCCAGGTCCTCTGCAAGAGCAGCCAGTGCTCTTAACCACTGAACCATCTTCCCCAGTCACCACCAACCATTTTTAAAATATATTTTTGGTTATTTTTGTTTTATGCGTATATACTGCCTGCATGTGTGTAAGTCAAACTGTGATATACAATGCCTGAGGTGGTCAGAAGAGGGCATCAGATTCCCCTGGAACTGAAGTTAACGGATGGTTGTTAGCCACCATTCAGGTACTGGGAATTGAACCCTGGTCCTCTGCAAGAGCAGCCAGTGCTCCCAACTTCAGAGCCATCTCTCCAGCCCCCTACCCTTTTTTTTTTTAAGAGACAGGGTCTTACTTGGATGTTCAGGCTGGCTTCAAACTCATGGCAATCCTCCTGCCTCAACCTCCCAAGTGCAGGGATTACAGGTGTGAGCCACCACACTTGGCTCATTCTCACTTTGTATGTGTGTGTATATGTGCATATTTGGAAAGGCACATTGGGTGACATACATGTGTGTTCATGTGGAATCCAGAGGTCAGCTTTGGTTGTTGTTCCTCAGGAGCTGTTCACCTTGATTTTTTGAGACAGGTCTCACTGGGACCTAGGGCTCGCTGATTAGGCTAGTCTTGCTGGCCATCCACCTGTCTCTACCTCTTTAGTGCTGAGACTGTAAATGAACACCACCAGGCACAGTTGTTTATATAGATTCTGGGGATTTAACTCAGATACTTATGCTGGCTTGGCAAGAACCTTACCTACTGAGCTACCTCCTCAGGCCTTCATTCTCACTTTTAAAAACAAAGTCAAAAATAAAATTCTAAATATATGAAGGTAAATAAAAATTTAAAATCTACAATCCTATTACTAGGAACGATGACAATAATACACCATTACCACTGGCATTTATGAATACTGCCCTTCAGTTTTTAGTTTTCTATTTATCTATTATTTTGTGTGTGTGTGTGTGTGTGTGTGTGTGTGTGCGCACGCACATAAATATGGGGGGGTTCCACAGCACACATGTAGAGATCACAGCACACATGTAGAGATCAGAGGGTGTTCTAGTTTGTGTCTCCACTGCTGTGACAAAACACTCCAACCACTACCAACTTGGGGAGGAAAGGGTTTATTCAGCTTACATCTCCTGGGTCACACTTGATCAGGGAGCCAAGGTAGATACTTCAGGGCAGGAGCTGGAGCACAGGCCATGGAGGATCGATGCTTACTGGCTTGCTCCCCTGGCCCCTGCTCAGCTTGCTTTCTTATGCAACACAGACCCACCCACCCAGGGATGGCATCACCCACAGTGGGCTGGACCCTTCCACATTACTCAACAATCAAGAAGATACCCCACAGACATGGTCACAGGCCAGTCCTCTGGAGGCAATTCCCCAATTGAGGCTCCCTGAACCCAGGTGTGTCAAGTTGACATTAAAGCTATCCAGCACAGAGGGTAACTTGTCAGAACTGGTTTTCTCCTTCTACCACGTGGATCCAAGAAATCAAATTCAAGTCATCAGAGTTGGCAGCAACTATCTTTACCTACTAAGCTACTGTACTGGTCCTAGTTTTTCTTTCTTTATATGAACTAATTTTTATGATAGGACATAGTAATTGTAGTGGTCAGACATGGAAATGGTGGGAGACAAAAAATACACATGTGAAAATAGTTAAGCCAGGAGTGGTGGCATATGCCTTTAACCCTACACTCCAGAGGCAGAGGCAGGCGGAGCTCTGTGAGTTTGAGACCAGCCTGGTCTACAGGGCAGCTGGGGCTACAGGGAGACCTTGTCGCAAAAAGACAAAAAAAAAAAAAAAAAAAAAAAAAGTTAATTATTAAGCTGGATATGGTTGCATATATGGTGTTATACACCTATAATCCACATTTTTGGAGGCAGAGGCAGGAGTCAGGAGTCAAAGGAGAACCTCAGTTACAGAATAAGTTCAAGGAGAGCCTGAACTACATGAGATGCTGTCTGAAAAAATAATTAAATTGGCTGGAGAGATGGCTCAGCAGCTAAGAACACCGGCTGCTCTTGCAGAGGACCTGGGTTCAATTCCCAGTACTTACATGGTGACTAACAATCATCTGTAACTCTAGTCCAGGGAATGTGATGCCCTCTTCTGACCACCATGGGCACTGCATGACATGGGTGCATTTACCTAAAGTAGACACTTTTTAAAAAAAAATTATATATTTTTTATTTTTTAGAAGAAGCATTTCATTACAGCTTTAACATAACAACAGTTTCCAGAGCAAAAATTCATCTGTTTCAAAAGTGGCTATAAAATTTTTAGGTTCACTAAAAATTGTATTGAATTAATACAATTATACAATATTGAACTCAGTATAAACCCTATAAGACATAAAATTGAATGAGTTTTTAACCTTTAAAAAAGATCTCCATTTCATTTTAAAATATACTGTTTCTTACAGAAAGACTCATTGTTTTTGCTAATAACACTGAGATGTTGGCGCATGCGTCTCTAATCCGTATGTATCTAATTATTACTAGTCATAGTCGGTTGCACTCGGATCCTTGGCACCTGTGTATGTCTATAAAGTCATCGGGTAGATTTCAATGGTAATGTTTATCACCTCTAACAATTAACATGATGTAAATTTTTATGCTTCCTCCTCAAATATAATTCATTTTTTCAATCTGTTAATTTTTTTGTGTGTATATCACACAGAACATCCCAAACCATCTTATTTGTTTCATTCTTTTCCCTTGTTTTGCTCATTTCTTTCCACTACATTGGAAATCGCTTTTAGAACAGAGCTAGCAAACAAGTTTCATATGGAGTCAGGCAGGGCTCAGTAGTTACAGTGAAACATCATGTTGAGATTCTAAGCCACCTTTTTACTTCTACAGACAAAAATTCTAGAAAGGTTTCAGAAGGCCCATTAAAGTGAAGATCCTGAAACTCTGTTCTGCAGTTTATTCATTCCTTTTTCTCTGATTTGCTACCTTCTGATTTGTTTTTTGTTTTCTAACTTTTAAAAAAATATTTTATAATTTTCATTTTGAGTATGAGTGTATTGCCTGCACGTATGTGAGTGCACCCGTGTCATGCGATGCCACAGAGGTCAGAAGAGGGCTTTGGATTCCCCTGGAACTGGAGTTAAGGACAGTTCTTAGCCGCCATGTGAGTGCTGGGAATCAAACCTGGGTCCTCTGTAAGAGCAGTAAGTGCTCTTAACCGCTGAGCCATCTCTCCAGCCCCTTGTTTTCTAACTTTTTGAATTAAATATTTAGCACATTTCCTACTGATTAAAAAAAGCAATAAAATATCTTAAATTTACCTCTAATTACCACTTCGGCCATACTTTGACCCCTACTTAGCTCACCAGATTGTTCCTAATACATCTTTCTCAGTGATCTATTTTCTTTAACAATATTATTTATAAGAAAACTTTCATGTTTTAGGCCTTTGAGGCTTTCATTTATTTTCTATTACTAAATCACTATGCACATTGTGCTATGCTCAGGGTTCACACTCCAGAAATGTATAATGGTTTTATACCCACTTTCTAGCACTTTACCCAGAATCATTTTGTGACTATGCTCCTGTTGTGTTGAAGAGATGCCTTCTCAGCTCAAGTTACCTGAGACTATCCACTTGTCCTTCTACACCCCTTGCTTTCAGCTGCTCACCTGGCTACCACTGCCACCTGTCCCCATGATGTTCTCCCAGCTCTAGAGAGGAACCACTCCCATGCTGAATTGCTTGTGGAGTCCCTGCCGCCACACCTAATAGCATAACTGTGTTCTAAGTTCCAGTGCCAGTTGGTCTTCTTCTTCCCGCTGTGGGTCTGCTTTTCAATAAACAAAGAGATAAAAAAATATACTAACCAGGGCAAAAGGAGAGATCAAGAATCTTGGAACCCAATGTTAGGCATGGTGGTCTGTGCCTTTAATCCTAGCCATCTGGAGGCAGAGGCAGGCCTATGTCTGCGAGATCAAGGCCACCCTGGTCCACATCGTGACTTCCAGGTAGGTTGGGACTAGGGAGACCTTGTCAAAAAAAACAAAAAAAACAAAAACACCCCAAAGAATCTTGGAACCCTTAGATACCTAAACCTGTTTCAAATCCAAATTGTTCTGGTGGACAAGTACTCTAGCTCCTCCAGACCACTAAGATATTCCTCTACAAACTAGCGTTTCTTTACATGCAAAACATCTCAATGCTGATTTTTTGTTCGTTCATCTGTGGGACAAGGTCTTACACTGTAGGCCAGGCTAGCCTGAACTCTCTTTGTAGACCAGGTTGATTTCAAACTCACAGAGATCTACCTGCTTTGCCTTCTGAGTGCTGGGATTAAAGATGTGTGCTACCACACCCAGCTTAATGCTGATTTTAAAAATATAAATGTTAAATGACATAACTTTAACACACATTTCTCTATTGTATTGTTATAGCTCTATTTCATATTGCAATGTCAATTTTTCTTTTTTTCATTCTTTTTCTTCAATGCTGAGAATCAAGCCTAAAACTTTACACATGCTAGGTAAGTACTCTGCACCGAGTGATGCTCCTGACCACCATCTTTTCCGTTTCATCAGCGTATGCCAGGAGACTACTAATGAGAAAAAGAAGCTACATCTCACATCTAGAATCTACTGAGGTCTGAAAGAATTTACCAGGAAAATGTTGACTCTGAACTTTTCAACTTGATTTTCTTTCAATCAGAAAAAAAAAAAAAAAAGATTTACATGGGCATACTTTAAAGAAAAATCAGCCTAAGTCAGCAGCACTGTGGTAAAGTTTTAAGCATCTGTAATATCAAGCAAAAACTGCCAATTCTGCACATTTATACCATCAATTCCTAAAGAATTATCAAATTATTTATGGTCTGATATTATGAGAAAGTAATATCCTTCTAATTCTAACCATTTTTTCAGTTAAAGTTGGAAATTTGTAAGCAGGATCATCACTGGGCAATAATGTGATGGAGAGCAATAATCAACTTCTGTGGTTACTTGTAACATATAAAGTCACATTACCATTCAGAAATGATCTGTAGTCAAGTATCACAAAGCTTATCTTACATAACTTCAAGCCCTGAATGTCTAAGATAGTTGAAGAAAACAATTACTTTGGAGTTCAAGAAAAATGAAGCTATATTTCACTACCATACTTATAAATTAAAAATATTTTCACATTTATTTTATTTATTTGGGGGAGGTACACACCAGGGTGTACATGTGGAGGTCAGAGAACAAATCATGTTGGTTCTGGGGATGGAACTCAGGTTTTCAGGCTTAGCAGTAAGAGCCTTCTATTGATCCATCTCAATAGTCTTCTTAAGATTGACAGTTACTGCTCTTAACCACTTGAGCCATCTCTCCATTCCCTGATAGTCACTTTTTAAAGAAATTACATACTATAAAAGATGTTTGATTCCTTATCCAAGATGAAAGCACTGTGGAACTAGATGGAGAATGCGCTGGACTTCTCTGCTCTGAGGGTATGGCCGGTATTTTGTCATAGCTATGTGAAGCTGCCTAATACAACTTTGCAACTTCCTACAAATCTGTATTTATTTCAGAATTTTAAAGGACTTGCTTTAAAAGAAAGAACTGACAGTAATAACATGAAAGCCTCAAAAGCTTCATGCTAAATGAAAGAAGCCAGTTACAAAAGATATGTACTATAAAATTCCATTTATACGAACCACCTGTAAAATGACATAATATAGCAAGAGGAAGCAGTAGTAAGCATGAAACTAGAAGTTAGGGGTGAGAACTGACTACCAAGGGCACGAAGGAATGTTGCCATGTGATGAAGCCCCCTAAAACTGAATAGTGCAAACAGTTACACAGCCAAACAACCTTACCATCAATGGCTGTGACAGTAAGCAAACTGTATCACTATAAAATTGTAGAAAAAGTGTTAATGGTAGAATCTAGGCCGTGGGTAAATGGGTGTCAAATTATTTTAACTGGGTTATATACATGAAAATCTTCATAATAAAATGAAAACAATTAAAGTTCTCATAAGCTAAAAAAAAAAAAGTACTTTCCTTGGCAGTTCATCATCTTATGCCCCCATGAAGTTCCATGGATCAGGAGCCCTGGGTTCCCATCCCCAATCAGAATTTCCTGTGTGGATACTGCTGTAGCCAGCTGGTTATTCACTCAGCCATAGGGTGAAACCCCAAGCACAGGCATCTTATATGTTTTAATCACCATATGGAGAAAATTCTTATTTCAGCTATCTGCAAATTTTAGTAATAATATCAAAAACCCCCAAGAATTTTTAAAAAATTAAAACTTCAGTTTTTGATGTAAGAATCACAAACTTTACACACACACACACACACACACCCCAAACTACAAAAATATAAAAACAGGGGCTGGAGAGATGGCTCAGTGTTTAAGAATACTAGTTGACCTGGGTTCAAATCCTAGCACCCACATGGCAGCTAACAACTGTCTGTAACTCCAGTCCCAGGGGATCCAGCTGGGACTCTTCTGACCTCCATGGGCATTGCACGACACAGGTGCACTTACCTACATGCAGGCAATACAAGTATATACATAAAATTTTTAAAAAAAATTTTAAAGTTAAAAAAAAAAAAGAAATTGGAAATCTGAAATCATAAAAAGTAATGTACTTCTGGAGACATAAATCTTCCATTTTTATGCAACTTGCAAAGCTTTCAATATTTCTTCATTTTTGCATATCTTAATTCAGTCAGCAACGTAGTCTTACAAGTCTTTAAAACAAGTGCTTATATATATATACTTTTTATTTTATATGCTTTGCCTGCATTTAAATGTAATAATTTAAGTTTAATAATATATTGCATTTAAGTGCATGCAGTACCTGCAGAAACAATAAGAGGGTGGCAGATCCCCCAGAAGTGGGGTTATAGACAATCACTCACCATGTGGATTCTGGAAACTGAACTTAGGCCCTCTGCAAGAGCAAGTACTCTTAACATCTCCAGCCCCACAGAAGTATTTTTAAATTTATACAGATGTGTAATATCCAAAGAAGAAACAGATATCGTCATGTAATACCCATTTTTAAAACTTAAAATGATAATCTTTGATCCACTCGTGCATGTGCCTGTGTGTGTATGCAACATACATGTGGGGGTATACATGCACCTTGAGTGTGAGTACATGTACCTATGCATGATCAAAAGCCAGAAGAGGATATCAGGTGTCCTACTCTATCACTCTCTGTCTTATTTCCTTGAAACATAATCACTCACTGAACCTAAAGCTGAGTTGGTTAGGTAGCAAGTCCCAGGATCCTTCTGTCTCCACCCTCATAGCACTGGGATTACATGCAGGCTCAGCAGCTTTTTACATGGATGCTGAGGATTTGAATCCAGGTCCTCATGCTTGGGAAGCAAGCATTCTTACCTGTTGAGTCATCACCCCAGTCCCAAATCTTTGCTGTTGTTTTTATTTTTTCAATTGCCATTTTATTTTATTTTGGTCCTTTTGAGACAGGGTCTCCCTGGTAGCCCCAGCTAGCCTGGAATGCACTATGTAGACCAGGCTTGCCTCTTGAATGCTGCACCTAAAGGTGTGCGCCACCATATCTGGCTCAATTGCCAAATTTTACACCAAGTGTATTCCTTATTACAAACTTTCAAAAGCAGTATGTACATTCTGACATACTTAAAGAAACCAGGATTATGCAAATAAAAATGTCAAATATTTGGAATAAGCTTTATGTTCCTAACTCACTGCTTTTCTAATCCCAACTACACCTAGTATCGGTGATGGGTTATGCTATGTACCCACTATGCCCCAAGAACTGACTGATCCTGAGTGATGAAGAGGAAGAGCTAGCACAGATCTTTTCAAAATAGACTTGTGCTATACATTTTTCCCCTTGAAGAGCTAAGACTACTGTAGGGAGGAGACCACAGGTTTTATCTTTACTAAATCAAAATCTTAGGGTCCTTTTGGAAAGATGTAGACTGGCCCACAGACCAGCCCACCACATTAACACTACAGTTAAGTATCCTCTGTGGGAAAAGCCAAGGATTTATTTACCTTTGTACTGGCCACGCCAATCTCAGGACCAGCATTAATGTGAACCCCACAATCTGTCTCCCTTGATATAGAACTGCCAACTGTATTTGTGATCCCCACAGTTAAAGCTCCTCTCTCCTTGCAGTAACGAAGACCCATCAGGGTATCAGCTGTCTCACCTGTGTAAAAGGGACAACAAAAGTTACACATAGAGCAGTTTCTAAATATGCTGTTCCTTATATGAAAAAAATCAACTGACCATACTTTCAATGATATCACTTGTAAATAAAGATAAGGTATGCTCTTAACAAATTTATAAGATGTAGACATTTTTTGTTCCCTATTTGGAAAAAAGCTCTATAGGCTTGTACATAAATGGTGTTCTTTTTTTTTTCTTATAAAGAATATATAAATACTTTTAAAGTAAATCTATATTTATCAAGTCATCTAAAATACCAGTTTATCAATTCTTACAAGATATGCTAGTATTAGGAAAGTTGACTTAAAATGACTTTTCTTCCCCTTGAGTCTTAAAAGGAACATACCTGACTGACTAATGAAAAAGCAAACGTCATCTCGAAAGACGGGCGTGTTTCTATCCAGGAAGTCACTGGCTAGCTCCACCATCACTGGCAGCTCAGTCAGCTCCTCCAGAACCTGACGTGTCTACAGAGGAAAAAGAACATAATCTGCCTTCAGACTCTCTTCTTCATTGGACTTCTTTGGCCTAACTGTACAGTTCCCTTATTTTTCCAATTATAAAAATAAAAGATGGACTAGGAGTACAGCTCAATTGTGAGCACTTGCCTAGCAAGCACAAAACCCTAGGTTCCAACCACAGCACTGCCAGAAGGAAAAAACAAAACAAAATGCATAAACTTAGAAAATATAATACAAATTAATGCATTAAAAAATTCAGCATCCTACTTCCCAAGAGGTTAAGCACTGTTAACATCTAAGCACAAGTCTTTTTTTTAAAAACTTTATTTTTATTTTATGTGTAAGAGTGTTTTGCCTGCATGTATGTGAGTGTGCCGTGTGTGTGTGTGTGCGTGTGTGTGTGTGTGTGTGCCTGCAGAGGCCAGATGAGGGTGTCAGATCCCCCAGAGCTGGAGTTAAGGACAGGTGTTAGCTGCTGTGTGGGTGCTAGGAACTGAACCTGGGTCCTCTGGAAGAGCAGTTAAGTCTTCTTAACCACTGAGCCTTATCTTCAGCCCCTAGTTCAAATCTATCAACATCTATGTTCGGCTTTGTTTTGTTTGCCAACAAGGCCAACCAGAAACTCACTATCTATATGTAGTCCAAGTTAGCCTCAAACTTGCAATAATCATCCTGCTTCAGCCTTCTGAGTGCTGGGATTACAGGTGCAAGCTATAAGACCAAGCCCAATGCAAACATTCTCATAAACAAATATAACCCATCCACGCAAAACATTTTAAGCAGAAAAAACACTGCTCTGAATCAGCTTGTATGTTTAACTCCCCAATTTCTAATATTTAAAATAAAAATTTCTAGCCAGGCATGGTGGTACACACCTTTAATCCCAGCACTTGGGAGGCAAAGACAGGCAGATTTCTGTGAGTTGAAGACCAGCCAGGTCTACATATCGAGTTCCAGGCCAGCTGGGGCTACAGGAAGACCCTGTTTCAAAAACACCAAAAAACCCCCACATTTTTCTATAATATCCAAGTCATTAAGGGATTACAAATGAGCTAATGATGTGCAAACCTCAGTGAAAAATTAGGCACTTTCAAGATGTAATACATTTAGAAATAATACCATTTCAAAAAAAATGAATACATTTTAGAAATTCTGTTAAAGAAGGCTCATTATTTCCAAAATTTGGAGTATTAGAACAGGGTATGAAATGAGGAACAGGGTATGTTTCTGTTAAATCCTTTTTACTCTAAACATCAGAAAATTATAAACAGAAAACAAAACTTTCATCCATCAAAACCTTTTAAGTCTTACAAAGATATGTAGACACATGGTGGTGCTTTAACACTAACTATGGAGAACCCCATCCCACCATCCCTTCACCAGTGTTTTCTGATCATCCCTCCTTGCCTACCTCTTGCCTCATTTCCACATTCCTCTTTCACAGCAATAAAAACCACAAAGGTTGAGGCTGGGGAGGTGGCACAGTGGTTAAGGGCACTTGCTGCTTTTTACATGACCCAGAATCAGCACACACTGTTCAATACACGTCAGGCGGCTCCCTTCTTCTGATAGTCATGGGCACCCCCCCACCAACACACACACACACGGCATACATTCACACAGACACAGAAAAAAAATTTATTTAAAAAAAATAATAACAGGCATGGTGGTGTGCGCCTTTATTCCCAGCACTTGGGAGGCAGAGGCAGGCGGATCTTTGTGAGTTTGAGGCCAGCCTGGTCTACACAGTGAGTTCCAGGACAGCTGGGGCTACAGGGCTACAGAGAGACCCTGAGACCGTGTCTCAAATAGACCAAAAAAAAAAAAAAAAAAAACCACCCATACCTTCTTTAATTTTCTGTTAGAATGTTTTAACTTCTGCTTAAAATAATCACTCTCTCAGACCTCTTCAGTCATTCTTTTAGGATCAGGGAGTATGGGGCAAGGGGCTTTAGAGAAAAATAGAGTTTGTTGACATGCAAGGGCTCATGACCACACAATTTCACACACTTGATACATGACTGGCTCTCACAGGTTAAGAGGTAGATATGTATGTTTCAGCAAATAAAAAGATACTATGTCAGGAACTTTGGGAATCAATCTTACAAGTAGAAACTGAGTATGAGTTCCTTGTATGCCACAGTGCACAATCCGCTTACTTACACCTGGATCTGATTTATTAAGAGGCCATCGTGTTCCAGTTTCTATACCAACAACCAATATATGGCCCTAATTCAAACTTTCGGTTTCTAAATATCAATTTAAAGAATGAAGTCTGACCAGCAGACTTCCTTTCTTTCCAGAAATATGCCCTTAACACAAACTCCTGAAGTTTACACATGGCACTGGCCACCTACCTGAGATCAGTGGGCAATTCTAAGCAAAATACAGAAGCTATAGTGAGAAGTTGAGGCAGGAAGCTCTGAGTTTCAGGCAAGTCTGGCTACATATACCAAGACCCTGTTTCAACAAAACAAAACACATAATGCCTACAAGAAGGCACGCTCTGTAGACTACTAGGACAGTACAAAAGCCCTTCCCCTCTCAGCATTTACAACATCAATCAAAGCTAGTCCAACTGTATATGTAGACCTTCTACCAGATCTTCCATTGATAAATCATTCAAGCAGCTATGACTCCCTTCCCCGTCCTGGTACGTGTCATAGAAAAAATAAAATTACACATTTTAACAAAAGATAGTTTTCTAGAGCCAGCAAGATGGCCCATCGGATAAAAGCACTTGCTCCACAAGCCTGGAGATCAGAATTCAATCCCCAGAACCCACATGAAGGTGGAAAGGGGGACCCAACTCCACAAAGTTGTCCTCTGACTTAATTGTGATTAGCTTCAGTTGTCAGTTTGACACACCTGGGAACAAAGAACCTCAACTGAGGAATTTCTTCAAATAGACCCTGCTCTGTGGTCATGTCTGTGGTCATGTCTGTGAGGCATTTTCTCATTTTCTTAATTGCTAATTGATGCAGGAGGGCCCAGCCCATGGTGGGCAGCATCATCCCTAAGCAGGTGGGCCTGAACTATCTAAGAAATGTTGCTGAGAAAGGGGAAGTCAGTCAGTAAGCAGCATTCATTCCTCCATGGTCTCTGCTATGGTTTCTGACTTCCCTCAAAGACAGACTGTACCTTAGAAGTGCAAAATGGTGGTGACATACACCTTTAGTCCCGGCACTCAGAAGGCACATGCAGGCTGTGAGACCAAAGTCAGTCTGGTCTACAGAGCGAATGCCAGGCCGGCTGGGGCTACGGGGAGACTCTGTCTCAAAAAAGACCAAAAAAAAAAAGTAAACAATGAAATAAACCCTTCTCCCAAGTTGCTTTTGGTCATGGTGTTTTATCACAGCAAAAGACAGCAAACTACAACGGACTTCCATACATATGCTTCCCTACAAATAAATCATGAGCACACACAATATTTTTTTAAAGATTTTACATGTTACTAGAAGCCAGGCGTGGTGGCACACACCTTTAATCCTAGCACTCAGGAGGCAGAGGCAGGCAGATCTCTGTGAGTTCAAGGCCAGCCTGGTCTACATAGCAAGACCTTGTCTCAAAAAGATAAAAAAAAAAAAAACCCTAAAAGACAAAAAATAAAACATGCTACTAGAAATACAACTGGTCTACAGATACCTTGATATCCAACATGACAATTAAAATGTTAAGAGGCAGGGCTGGAGAGATGACTCAGCAGTTAAGAGCACTGACTACTCTTCAGAGGACCCAGGTTTGAATCCCAACACCCCATGGCAGCTAACAACTGTCTGGAACTCTAGTTCCAGGGGATCTGATGCCCTCTTCTGGCCTCTGTGAACACTGCACAACATGGGTGCATTTATATAACATGCAGATATAACAAAATAAAAATAAAAATAAGGAGCGGGTGAGATGGCTCAGTGGTAAAGAGCACTGGCTACTTTTCCAGAGGACCCAAGTTTGATTACTAGCACCCACATGGCAGTTAATAACAGTCCATAACTCCAGTTCCAGAGTATCCGACACCCTCTTCTGGCCTTTGCAGGCACTGCACAACACAGGTGCACTTCCACATATCCAGGCAAAACATTCATACACATAAAAATAAAAGTAGTAGTATAGCCGGGCGTGGTGGCGCACACCTTTAATCCCAGCACTTGGGAGGCAGAGGCAGGTGGATCTCTGTGAGTTCAAGGCCAGTCTGGTCTA